ATATACAATCAACAAATATATGAAAAAATTTTCATCATCACTAGCAATTAGAGAAATGCAAATCAAAATTACCCTAAGATTTCACCTCACTCCAGTCAGAATGGCAGCTATTATGAAGACAAACAACAATAAGTGTTGGCAAGGATATGGGGGGAAAAGGTACATTCATATACTGCTGGTGGGACTGCAAATTAGTGCAGCCAATATGGAAAGCAGTATGGAGATTCCTTGGAAAACTGGGAATGGAACCACCATTTGACCCAACTATCCCTCTCCTCAGTCTATACCCAAAGGACTTAAAAACAGCATACTACAGGGTCACAGCCACATCAATGTTTATAGCAGCACAATTCACAATAACTAAACTGTGAAACCAACCTAGATGCCCTTCAATAGATGAGTGGAAAAAAAAATGTGGCATACATATATATATAAAGGAATACTACTCAGCAATAAAAGTGAATAAAATCATGGCATTGCAAGTAAATGGGTGGAGTTGGAGAAGATAATTCGAAGTGAAGTTAGCCAATCCCAAAAAAACAAATGCTGAATATTTTCTCTGATATAAGGAGGCTGATTCATAGTGGATAGGGAGGGGGAGCATGGGAGGAATAGACGAATTCTAGGACAGAGGGGTGGGAGGGGAAGGGAGGGGACATGGGGTTAGCAATGATGGAATGTGATGAATATCATTATCCAAAGTACATGTATGAAGACACGAATTGGTGTGAATATACTTTGTATATAATCAGAGATATGAAAAATTGTGTTCTATATGTTAATAAGAATTATAATGCATTCTGCTGTCATATATAAATAAACAAAATTTTTATAATAAAAAATCTAGGATCAGAGAAATTATGTATGTGGCCTAAGCATTTTACCAGCCTCGGGCAAGTCACATAACTCAAATCTCAAGTACTTCACTAGCAAAACTAGGATAACACTACCTACTTTGAAGGTTATTAAAGGGATTAAATAAAATATTTAAAAGGTACCAAGGCACATAGTTGATGCCTAGTAATTATTTTCTTTTTCCATAGAAACAACATTAAATATGACATATGCACTGGCTAAACAGTTTCCAAACTAAAAGAAAACCCAACTAAAGAAAATCCTATTTAACTCTCACACACTTAGTTCTAAAGCCCAGCTGACTCATGCAGCATTCAACAATGATTTACAGTTGCAAGCACAGTGCTAATAGGGAGAAAGACAGACTTACTTTCTACCCTACAGAACAGGGTCTCATGAAATGACAAGACAAGTAAAATGCTGGGTACAAAGCCTTTGATAAGAAAAGCTCTGGCTACTTAAAATAGGCACTTACAGGCTTGAGATCAGGAAAGAGATGTGTATAAAGCTTGCTTCCTTCCATACCCACCATCCTACTTTAAGGTACTGTTTTTAAAATGTCTGGAGCAGAGGTTTTAGAAGGGCAGTGGTTTTTTGTTGGATATAAGATAAGAGAATTCTGAAAGGACAGAAAAGAAAAAGGAAACCTGTAAGCAGTTTTAGGGAAAAATTATGAAAGCCATATCTGGGAGGCAGCTCAAGAAGGAAGAACAGCTCAGAGTCATACTACCCGCGCTTCTCTTTCCTTGGGTCATCCCCAGAATGGCCCTGACAGTCCAGATTGGCAAGGGAGATGGGGGACAGAGGGGAGAAAACAAAAATCCCATCTCAGCAATGGAGAGGGAAAGGAAATTCCTGTGGGCAAACTGTAAATGAGGCCACATTAAGTTCTTTCCTTCATTATGTTTTTCCTTCTTTATGGCAAAAACCACCTTATAACCACAATTCTGTGATGGGTTCCTAACAAGTCTCACCTGCAGAGTCTGCTTTCTTAAAATAATTTTCTATAACATCACAAAGCTTACATTCCTTAGACACTCCTTAATCTTTAAATTCCCACACTAAATTACCATCTGGATCAAGTTCATACTTTAGCAGTAATCAAGGCCTTGAATGCAGTTCAAATTAATATTAATTGCCAGTGATACACAAAGGCTATATGGAAGGCACAGAGAATTATGCCTGAAAAGGGAACACCTAAATATATGGAGCAAGGAAGAATCTAACAAATCAAACTTTAAGGACTGCACAGTTCAATTTCCAGCTAGGGAGATGTGACATCTTGATTCATGAAGGAAGCAGTTCTCCTAGGCTCTGAAGGAACAAAAGGACATAAAACAGCAGGGATAGGTGAGGCCAACATTTTCACATGGGGTAATAATAAAAACAAATAAAATGTGTCAAGAAAGTATATGATGTGCCCAAGAAAAATGTCAGCTCTACTTGTGTAACTCAATCACCCCCACTTCCCTATGACATAGCATGATGTCACCAATCTTGGATCAGACTGCCTGGGTTCAAATCCTAACTCTACCATTTGGTATCATGTATGGCCTTGGACAAGTAACACGACCATTGCATGCATCAAATTTCACAACTATAAAATTGGGGTAACAATGATGGTGCTGACATCATACAGTTTCTCTGGAGCACAGAAATAACTAAGCCTAGCCTGACATCAAGACAAATGAATCTGATCAACAGTCTTATATGAAATGCACAACCATCTGACTACTTCCAAAACATGCATTTGCAGAAAACGAACCTGAATTAGGGTAGTGGCAGCTGGGATAGACAGGAGAAACACTGATCAAGACTGTAGAGAAAGACATGCAAGCACACTACCAGCAAAGTGCAAGATGGGAAAGAGAAAGAAGATCAGAAGAACACCCTTTCACCCATCTACCAAAATATCTATACATTCAGTCACATACTATTTTTGATTCTGCTGTTCTCTGAACACCTAGAGGTTCTGGAGTTTGAAGGAAAGTTTGGAAGAATGTTGTACAAGGCCCTTTACATATTCCTCATCAGGCTTTCATATCCTCTAAATTAGTAAACTCCATAGGCTACTTTTCCATTAGGACAAAAATGAATACCCAAAGCATCATACATGGGTACATCACCAGATGAAATATACCAATGTTCAAGAATTCCAAGAGTTCCAAAGTTAAAAATAATTTTAAAAATAATTTTTCCTGGTGGAATACTATTTCGAGTTTGGTGTCAAAAGAGCACAAATCCATTATTAATGAAATCTGAAACAATGTCACATGGATTTGGCCTCCTCTGAGCTGCAATAGCTTGGAACATACCCACACACCACATGTAGCTTCTTTTCTTTCATCCCTGGATGAGGCTTGTCAGCTGCCACCCTGAGGGAGGTCCCATCACCTTGCATGCAACACATCAATCAGGCTGTTCTATTCAGTTTGTTGTTTGATAGGTGGAGGCAAACATACAAGTCCATAAAACAAAAGATACCTTGCCTCTGTTTTTTTTATTCATCCACTGGTACCTTATGTCCCTCAAGTATAATACAGGCCATTGTTCTTTTCCACTTGAAATCTATAATGCTAATTACATATTTCCAACTACTTAAAAATATAACAAAATAATTTACAACTAATAATTCTGCAAGCTGAAGAAATTGCTTTTAGGCATATGTTTGTAAATATGCATGGGAAAAATTGAAAGAAAAAAAACCCTAAACGTTAACAGTGATTATTTCTTAATGACGGAATTATGAGATTTTTTTTTAAAGAAAGAGAGAGAGAGAGAGAGAGAGAGAGAGAGAGAGAGAGAGAGAGAGAGAGAATACGAATCTTTTTTGTAGATGGACACAACACAATGCCTTTACTTTTATGTGGTGCTGAGAATTGAACCCGGGTCCCGCCCATCCTAGGCGAGCGCTCTACAGCTGAGCCACAATTCCAGCCCCAAGAGAGTTTTTTTTTTAAACATTTATTTTTTAGTTGTAGTTGGACACAATACCTTTATTTCACTTATTTATTTTTGTATGTGGTACTGAGGATCGAACCCAGGGTCTTGCATGAGCGAGGCAAGCGCTCTACCCAGCCCCTGAGAGATTTTTATTCTTTATTCTTCATACACTTCCAATTTTTCTTAGGCATATAGTACCTTATAATAAGAAAATTTAAAAAGGAAAATTTATTTTAAGTTTTTAAAGCTTTTCTATACAAATAAAAATCTAACAATACTTACTTACCCCAAGTCATATACTTGGTCTTTCATTCAGCTAGATAAGAGAGTTCCAGACCAAGCCAAAGAACCACAAAGTTCCTCCATGCTAAAGGGTTCTTACAACTAACAAGTTGCTTAATGAGATTTTTTTCTAAAAGAGAAAAGCTTTCTGTTTGATTGCAAATACTTTTAGTATGTTTCACTAAAAGAGCATTTATTACATAATTCTCTTAAAAGTTAACCATAAGGGTTTTTAACATTTTTTTAGTTGTCAATGGACCTTTATTTTACTTATTTATATGCAATGTTGAGAATCAAACCCAGTGACTCACACATGCTAGACAAGTGCTCTTCTGCCACTGAGCCACACCCTCAGCCCCTCCATCAGGATTTTAAATAGGAAAAACAACAAATCTTCATCTGATGGCATATTTTGTTTGGACTCCGAATGTTAAGGATCACAATCATTATATTATACTGTAACTAAGCCTCAATATTCCATTAAGAGACAATGCACAACCCAAACTTCTGCACATTCTAAAGTAGAAATTAATATTAAAAGTCAGTAGGAGGTTAAGATAAAAGAGGAAAAAATTGCTATGTTCCTAGAGGCTAGCATATATCAGATTTCTCCTTCTGGCCAGTTAGTTTCCCTGGGAAGAGGCTAAGCTTACCCACATGTACATCATATCTGTATCTAAAACCTTCCAAGTTACTCTTGCTGAAATGTGAACTTGAGAGAAAATACCAGACAAACCCCAAGGAGATTGGTCCATTAGGTTTTCACACAAAGAGATCACAAGGGTTAGTTGAAAGTGTCACAAATAAACATAACATCATTTTGTATGTTACCAGCTAGACTCAACAGTCAATAATATGGCTTCCAGAAATAAATCCTTAGGTGCCTGAACTGCAATGATAAACAGCCTTCCCAAACTCACCTGGGACCTGGAGACCTCTCTTTGTGGTGAATTTCTTCCTTCTCCCGACTCAGACACTGAGTTTGGGCCTGACATTAAAGACAATGTGGCTTTAGAAGTGGCAGTATGGTCTTGGGAGAAAGATGAGAAGGTCGGTGTAGGAGAGGGCAACCTCACCACACCTTCTCCTGCAGCTGCCTGGCTCTTGCTGGATGAGCTTGAGACCAACTGGCTATTGTCAGGCTTCTGGGCAGGTGTGTTGAATGAATTATTTTGGATTCTCTTACTACCTTCCACATCTCCATTATACTTCCAGCCATCATCCATCTAAATAGGAAACACTGTTTTAAACTTGATATTCTGTTACTTTATTTTCTGCTTAAAAAACATTTAACACATTAAACCTACAAAAGTAAAATATACCTCACACAGCAAAGCATTGCTAAAAGCTTGGCATTCTTTCACACCAACAGATACATACTTTTATAAAGAAGAATTATTGTTATAATATAAGATTTCATACAAATTTCTGAAACTTGCTCTGCTTGTTTACATTACTCAAGGCCAACAGACAAAACTCTAAACTGGTACCCCTAGTACCCTAAATTAATTCTTTAAATTGTTGAAAATCTCATAGTGTAGATGGCAATAATTCAAAACTTTAAAATTGTTCAAGGTTTTTTGTCACTTCTAAAAAATATCACAACAAAATCCCATAGGTCTTTATAATGGGAACTCCCCCCACACAATTTTGCTAGATTAATTATAATGATCAAAATTTGCATCTACATATATATCATATATATATATGCATATATCATATATTTTATATGAACATATATATAATTTCTAAAATTTAGGAATGTACTCACAACATGTAAGAATGCCTGTTTCTCTGCATCTTAACCAGCACTAGACATTTTCAGCCTTCTAAATCTTTGTCAGTCTGATGGGTAGAAGTTTATACATCTCACTCTTGCTCCAATGAGACCAAACATGCTTCTATGTGCTTTATGTTATCAGCCATTTAAATTTCCTTGCCCTTAAATTTGCCATGTTTTCTATATCAATTTTTCTATTATTTATCTTCCCCTTACCAAAGTATGAAAAAATTTTATACTTTAGAGATACTGACCCTTCATCTATAATAGTTTTCTTGACTCCATCAATCATCTTAACCATGATAATGACGTCCATCATATCAATTTATTCTTTTTAGTTGTTAATGGATTTATTTTGTTTATTTATATGCAGTGCTGAGAATCAAACCCAGTGCTTCAACATGCTAGGCAAGCACCCTACCAATGAGCCACAATCCCAGCCCTCAATTTAATTTTTATGTTGTCAATATGCCTATATTTTCCTTAATATAATGACCACAGGTTTCCTGGCAGGTTCACCTCACCTCAAATACTCCAATTGTTTTAAGTTATATTTTTTTTTCTCTTCTCTATTTTAAGACTGTACATTGGCAGAACTAATAGGACTTTGCATATTAATGTTAAGACTGTATTGTTTCCTTTCATATAATTCAGATAAACATGCTGGATGTGTAATAATTCATTATGAGAAAAAATGCTGCAATATTGTTTATCCTTCAAAATCCCAACAGAAATATATATCTTGGAATAAACTATTTTAATAATTTTTTTCAAACATATCAAGTTCTAATGTGAGAAATCAGGATAAAATAGCAATCTGTATATAAACTCCTAAAATACTTAGGTTAAACTCCAGAAAATTGCTGTTTTATAGGTTGAAAAGAGGTAGCTACTGGCAATTTCATATTGTTCAACCTCATACTTTACAAAAGCAGTATCTGACTTTTTTTTGCAGTGTGATGGGTTGAACCCAGAGTACCATGCACACTAGGCAAGTACTCTACTATTGTGCTACAACCTCAGCACAAAAAACTGTATTTGAAAAAAAAATAGTAGTTGAAAAGAATAAATGCACTGCTTTAGCATTTCTCTTATTTCATTATTTAAAATGTATCCTCTCTACTTTCACTGAATTTAAAGTTCCCCAAGTTTTTGCTCTTCAGAATAGACTAAATACACTAAGAGACATTTTTACCGTGAAGGATCTAGGGAGTGATGAGATTCCCCTTGACTGTGTGCCAAAAGGTCTCGGTGTGACCACAGATGTTAACCTGGCTGTATCAGTTTTCTGGTAACTTCTAGGGAGAGAAGATGAAACTCGAGTTGACTCTATTTGCATACTCAGGGAACGCTGAGAAGACAAAGAGGCTGGGTATTCTGCAGAGCTTGTAGAAGGAAACTGAACTTCAGATGCTACACTGTCCTGTCTTTCCATAAAAGTTATAGGCTCTTCTTTAGGAGTCTCAGGAGGATGTGTTGTTCCCTCCTCTTCCACTCTCTCGCTCTGATAACTGGCTTCGGACTGAGTCAGAGTAGCAGGTAGCTCTTCATCACTCAAAACATCATCGGAGGAATACATCCTCCTAGATGTAATTGTAGACTTTTGATTTCGAGATTCCCTTCACAGAGAGAAACACACCATCACAACAAAGTTAGGCATCTGACACCAGAAGTGGAGGGGCTGTAATTAAAATTTAAATCATCTAGGACTAAAAACACCACTGACACTTAACAAAATAATCAACATAACACTATCAGAGTGTGATGATGTATAATTTTTTAATGCCCCAACTAACAAAGGTTATAAGAAGTTAATTTTTTTATTATTAAACAGGCTCTCTATTACTTTTTCATAAAGATATTACTTTTGAGGGAGATCATAGTTTAACAAGGAAATTTTAACAAGGGGCTATTCATAAAATTTTATCCAAAAGCTATAGGTTTCCAAATTTGAAACACTATATATAAATGACTAACAATCAATTTGAACCCTCCAAATCTGTGAATTCCTTGACAGCATTGTGAACTATTTGCTATATAAAATTTATAACACATTAGTAAAAGAGGACAAAGCACAAGCTTTAATGAAGATCCAGTCATTGTTTCATGCAGCTTGATAAAAATTCCATGGATAACAATAACAGACTAAAAGTAACTATTCATTTTTAAAGCGTTGATGAAACACGCTCATCTAACATTTAGTAAGGCTAATTGTGTTGCATTTAAAGAAAGGAAACTGTTAATCGTTGGCTGTTCAGACACAAAGGAGCTTTGTTTAATTTCACCTGGCAGCATATTTCCTCTTTGACATTATTCTTAAAGCATAGTTGCCTTCTCCAGAGCCTATAAATATCCTAAGATTTCACACAGTAACTGCTTTACAGGAGAGCTTAAATTTGACCTTTACCCTGCTATTTTGCAATGCACAGAATAAATAAACACATACATTAATGCTTATATAAGACTTCCTTTAAGATAAAATTTATATTCTATCACTAAAACAGAAAAAAAGAACTTTGTTGTATTTTATACAATTCAGTTAAAAGTGAGAGCTGATTTTATTTGCCCATTCCATTCCTAAGTTCACTTTAAAAGGGCAAAAAGTAGTATATTTTCTGCACCAAATACAGCCAATAGCTTCACTTTGTGTGTGAATGTACAATGTGAAAAAAAGAAATACTGTCCACCTATATTGAGTACTCATTCCTTTTGCTAATTCAAATCATTATTTTAGCATTTTTTTTTAACTACAGAGCAAAATCCTAGATGTTTCATTCCATACATGATTAAGTTTAAAATGGGTAAACACATACCACACCACACTTACACAAAACCTCCATTTCTAACACCAGCATCTCCAACCATGACCTGTCTATTCGGCCCTGTTACCTGTCCTGCAGCATTTCCTTAAATGTCTTGGAGCTTCTCTCAGACTTCTCAAGTGCTTGCTTTTCAATTTCTTCCCTCTCTTCTTTTTTCTTCTGTAGATCTGAAGTGTAACTTTTCCGACGATCTTTCCATCTTGCAAGGTCCTGACAGAAAATCACATCAGCCGGGTCATACCTGAGTTCCTACACACCCTTTTCAGCAGTGAGAGTGCGCCAGAGGATCCTGTTACATCACCGAAGCCATTCACTCCCATTTGTGCCAAGGTGCCCCAATTTTGCTTTTTATAGCCGGTGTTTCTGTACCAAGCCTTTATCTCATGCATCTCTCTGAAAAAACTGACCTAATAAGATAGTTCCCATTTTTGTTTTCCCAGAAAGTGTCACCTCATTGCCCAGTTCAGAGAGAATGCTAAATGCGTGTAATTAGGTGTCAAATTAGGCAGATCAGGAACTGTTACAAATTCATTTTTGTCTTACTCCAAAAACCTAGCTGTTATGTGAAAGGATATGTTTTCTAGTACAATGGAAACAGATGTGTTAACTGCACCAGGTAAGTGCAGGTGCAGAATACTCTCCTTTAACTAACAGGAGCTCCATCCCTATAAACACATATGAATAAGATGTAGTTCCCCTCAAGAAACTCAGCCTGGAAGGGAGAGAAACACAAGTGAATAAAGTTCAGTAATGAGTGTGACAGGATTGCATGGGAGAGTGAGGGTCTTATATAAAGACGGTTTAATTTTACTTCCATATGGGGAGAATTTGCAAAGTCTTCAAATTTGCTTCACTGGCCAGGGCAGACTCATATATAGGATGTCAAAGAGCGTATACTTCAAATGGATCAAGGGAATATGGAAGATCAGGTAGCCACAAGCCAATAGCTGTTTCCCATATCCCTAGAAATATTAAGCTTAACCAAGCTAGCAATATCAGGACAGACAACTTAATCCTGGTTCCCCCTAGAATTTCCCTAATAGCCTAGGCTAGTTCTGACACTTAGGGGTTTAAAACATTTTGAAAAGTACAAACTTTTCTATGTCTCCAAACAGAGAAATCCCATGCTAAGGATTGCAAGAGGCATTCCAGTCCAAATAGAAGTGCATCCAAGGTCTCAGACAAAGCCAAACCTCACCCCTAAGGCATGCAAAGTTTGATTTATACCCTTTGGGGGTAAACAGGACTATCCTGCTTCTAAAACAGCCTGAAATCAATATGAATTATTCCCATAAAGAACAAAAGGAGTGTGCATTTAGTCCTAGACAATAAGAGGCATGAATTTTCATCTGACTTAATGGATAAAAACCCCTCAATACTTTTTATTTTCATACCAAAATATTCACCATGCATTTTGGCAAAGTGAAATTGAGTTACTGTTTCTTGACAATTAAATTAAGTTCCCAATAAAAGAGGCATTGGAATTTGAAACTGAAGTCAAAACAGGCTTCATCATCATTACAAATATTTTAATTCCTTTGAAAATTAAGATTTACTATATCTGGCCATTTTGTTCATGCTACTATTCAACTCTCTTACCATAAAGTTGTCCTCAAACTATGTATAGCTTATCTGTTTTTGTTCTTATTATTCTTTCCATTTATAACAATTACTCCATTCAAAAAATTTAAAAATTATACTTTATTCTTTAGGATCAAAACTAAAACATCTCATTTTGATTCATACTAAATAATTCCTTCTTCAGCCAAAATATTACTCTTGGTTAATTTTTTCCCCAATCTCCTTAATAAATTTTAATAACCCTTTCATCTCTCCCTACTAATGCCAAGAGCTATGTTAGACCAATCCCAACCTTGAGCAAGGTCTTTTCCTATCAAAAGCATAATTAACAGTTTTACCCCAACTCAACACAAAAGCCAGAAAATAAGCCCACTCTGCTTCAAGGAAGCAGCTTTGTATTTTTTGAAAACTCATAGAGAATATTAAGAACTAAATATTCTCTTACTTTTACCAGTGGTCTTTAGGATATGCAATAGTCACAGGTAAAACAGGCTCAAAACTCATTGGTGCGACTTTCTCCAGAACTGAATGCTATAAATAGCAAGAAAAACTCTCTCTCAAATATATTGACTCTCTTTCAAGAAAAGCAAATGCATGTTCTCCGTTTCCCAATTTAATAATACTCACATCCTGCCATTTCTGATCTTGTTCTTTTAATTGTGATTTAATTTTCTGCATCTCCTCATAACGCAATTGACGCAAGTTCTGAACATCCTCTGCGCTGACGTCACTCATGGACTTACTCCTAGAACAAAAACACCCACAGTCACGAAGGTTTGCATGTCTGGTCTTAAGGTCAAAATGAAGGCTGGGCTTATATTTGGAAATTCCATCTAAATTTCTTCTGTACCACCTAGACACTTTCGGCGATAGTATCACCGAAATAGCTCTGGAGAGATAAATGGTATTTTTCCAAAATGCAGAAACAAGAGCCTAGTACTCAACTTGGGTGTGAATTTTTTTGTTCTTCCCCCCCCACACACACACAAAATGGCCAAATTAACCCTGTATAAGTCTGACAACAACAACAAATAATATTATTATTATTATTATTATTCCAACATTCAGACTTGGAGGCATCAATGCACAAATGGATAACTTGAGAAACAAAAGTACCAGTCACCCGAATCACCTATTTTCTACCTTCCCTAAAGATAAGCTATGAAGGTTTGGCTGCATTTTCTGAGCACTCACTAAATAATTTAGTGATTACCTGATATTTTCTCCTCAAGTTTAATACCATGACTAGATGTGCTTCTACTTCTCAATGATTCTAATAAGATCTTCCCACCACAGAACTAGACTTGCTGTCAAAAGACCACGGGTAGTTTCTGGTAGCCACTTAGAACCACCTCAGCTGCCATCTCCTTGATTAAAGCAGTGTTTCTGTGTTTAACTTGCAACCCCTGCACAAGATTTTGCTGAGATTTAGCTCTGAAGAGTTCAGTCAGGCAAGAAAGCAATGGGCAGAACGGAGGAGGTCACAGGCACATGTCTGCTGTCAGTATATACCCGTTAACTGCACCAGAGAAAAATGGGTGTAAGAAAGGTCTCCCAGGAAAGAAGAGGTCAGGTCTGAATACTGAAAAGCAGTCAGGAATATGAGAGGGGGGAGAGGGGGAGGGGGAGGGGGGAGGGAGGGAGGGAAGGGAGGGGGAGGAGGAGGGAGGGAGGGGAGGGAGGGAGGGGGAGGGGAGGGAGGGAGGGAGGGAGGGGGAGGGGAGGGAGGGAGGGGAGGGAGGGGGAGAAGGAAGGGAGAGGGGGAGGGAGGGGAGGGAGGGGGAGAAGGAAGGGAGGGGAGGAGGGAGGGGAGGAGAGAGGGGAGGGGGGGGAGGGGGAGGGGGAGGAGGGAGGGGGAGGGGGAGAGGGGAGGGGGGAGGGGGGGGGGGAGGGGGAGAGGGGAGGGGGAGGGGGGAGGGGGGAGGGGGGAGGGGAGGGGGAGAGGGGAGGGGGAGGAGGGAGGGGGAGGGGGAGAGGGGAGGGGGGAGGGGGGAGGGGAGGGGGAGAGGGGAGGGGGAGGAGGGAGGGGGAGGGGGAGAGGGGAGGGGGAGGAGGGAGGGGGAGGGGAGGAGGGAGGGGGAGGGGAGGGAGGGGGAGGTTTTTTTTAAAGGTGCAGTACCCCGAATGTCCTTTCCTATTGCGCTTCTGGGTTCATTTCACTGTAATTGAATACACTTTTAGTTACTGAAGTAACTCTACCTCATCTTGGTCACTTAAACTTTGCCTTCCCCATAGTTCTGCCACCACGATTTCCTCATAATAGCTTGCTCTTAGCTAACTCAGGAATTCAACTATAACTTCCATGCAAATGACTCTTTGGTCTACAACTTTGGATCTGTCCCCTCCTTTGACTCATTTCTAACTGCTCATTTAATAATCACTTCTGCATGGATCTCACCTAAGCACCTTAACTGTAAAAGGGCCAGTTGAAATAATATCTTCAATGGATATTGTAAACTGTAACCCACTGAATACATGGTTATTGTTAATGTAGCCAAATTTAAACCTGCTTTTCCTCTTGCCATGGTGAAAGGTGGTACCTCCCACCAAATCATTCATATTTGAAACCCAAGAACCATTTTTCACTTTTGATTCTCCCTTTTCCCCTCTTTCAATTAGTTATCAAGTCTTCTCATTCAGTATCTCTTTCTTTCCATCTCTACTGCCAACGCCCTAGATCAGAGAACAGTCAACCTTTACCTACACTTCCAAAGGAGATGCTTCTATTATCACCCAAAGAAAGCCTTTCCTCAAATGCTCTCTCCAACTCAAAAGCTCTTCTCTGATATATATACCTTTAAAAAAAAAACTCAAAATATCTGCTGGATTAAACTCAGCTCCCCACTTGAAGTCTAATAGGCATCTCAAATGTAACTTGTCACAGAGTAATAACATTGCTCACTCCACAACCTGTTCATCTTCCACTTTCCTCATCTCCATCCTTCTGTGCTTTACCCTCTAAATATCTCTAGTATACCAACACTTCTTCCTCCTCCACCATCACTACCTGGACCATGCCAACACATCTCCCATCTGGAGATTTATAATAACCTCCCTGCACAACAGTTTATTCTCAACACAACAGCCAGAGAGATCTTTTCAGGTTGTACCCAGGTAATGGCATACCCTATTCAGCACTCACCAGCTTCTTCCCATCTAACTCAAGTTAAAAGCAGGTTCTTCCAGGACCCACAAGGTCTGATGCTACGTGCTCCTGTCCACCTCTCCAGGATCATATCTACCACACTTCACTCACTCTCCTCCTGCCAAATGGCCTCGCTGCTCATGCTCAAGCCTCTTCCTTCTCCCCATGCCCTTCAACCAGCCTAGAATACTCTTCACTTAAACATCTACATGGCTTCTCTCTAGCTTCCAGTCAACTGCAGAAATGTACTTAGCCTCTCTTCCAGACTTACCTATCCCTACCCTCTTTTCTACATAGCATTTACTATCACCTGAGATGTATAGTTATTTACATTTCACCTGCTTTTCCCTGTAAGATTATAAAGTAGGAATTATATCTGATTTGTTTGCTGATACTAAAAATGAAGGCCAATCCATGCTAATTGCTTCATAAATGTGTTAATGATATTATAGCTCAAGCACTAGAGCAACTGCAAGAAAGATAGGACAGTGCTGATATGGAACAGATTGGAAGACTTTCTCCAAGTGGGAGACTATTACCTAGAGAATAATGCTCTAATGCTTTATTTATATTTCTTTCATGGTAGTTAACACTCAGCTTCATGTTATACAGTATGTGTTCATGCATCCTTAGCTTATCTCCCTCACAAGCTATATGCTGCCTTTAAGGAAAACACACTGACACAGCACAAGGCATGTAGGATACATTCATTTAATATCTGTGGTAAGAATGAGGTAAGTGTTATCATGTTTAATTAATCAAAATACACTAAATTTGAAATGTTTCTAATTTTTTTTTGAGAAAGCATTAGTGCTCTCCAAAGTTTTATTAAGGATTAAAGAATAAGTTACATACATATGAGTGCACTTGTGAAAATACATTAATCTATCTATGTAATATGTATTTCAGTAGGTATGTGTTATGGTGTGGATCTTGAATGTTGCCCTAAATAGCTCATGTTGGGTAACGCAGCAATGTTCAGAGGTGAAAAGATCAGATCATAAGAGCTGTAACCCCATCAGTGAGTTAATCCATTTGATTGACTAATAATTCAAATTGACTACTGGCATGGCTAGAGGGACAAGCCACCTTCCCTGGGGTTGTGGCTTTGGGGACTGTACCTGTTCCTGGCCCCTTCCTCTCTTTCTGTTTCCAAGGCTGTCATGAGTTGAACAGCTTTCCTCCACTTTGTCTTCTACCATGATGTTCTGCCTCACCTCAGGCAAGATTTCTGAAACCATAAGCCCCAAACAAACTTTTGTTCCTCTAAGTCATTCTTGTCAGGTATTTTGGTCACAGTAATGAAAAGCTAATGCAGTAGGACCACACATAAAACTGATTTGTGTGAATTTGAGAATATAAATTCACTTTAGTCACAAATAGAAAGGACACTATTTGACCGAGCACAACTACAAACTCACTAAGACAGAAAAAAAAATGTTCAGAACCAAAGCATGAAGGAAATCTGGAAACCCAACACATGAAGTTAAATACACTGTAGGACAAAAATGGAAATGTTAATTCATACTTTATCATTTAGGGGAGGAAGGCTGGATAGTGCAATCTGACACACAGTAAGCCCTCAGGACCTCCCAAGGCTACTGTCTCTTTACTCTCATTCTCCTGCGCTGCAAACATTAACATGCATCTTCCTGTATAGTGTGCTCATCCAGGCTAAGGCTGCATCCTTCCTGCCCTGCACACCCAGTACCAAGCAGAGTATGGCACCCAGGACATCCTCAATAGGAACACGGTGACAAAACATGGTCTGGAGTAGACAAGTTTCTGGAAAGGCAGAAATGTGAGCACAGTTTGTTCCCTAAGGTTATCAAGTTACCCACATAAAGCTAAGCATACTCCATAGGAGGCACATGAATCAGACAAGAGGGGAGGACTCCAGCCCAGCTTTCACCCACCATTCATGCAGCAGTTCACTTTTCTAAACCTCAGTTCCTTATCTGGTAAGGTGATTGTTATGATAACTGGATAAGTCTGTGCTGGTTGCATTTTTAAAAGCTACCTGGGTGCTACATACCAATTCTTATTAAAGCAAATACGATTGCATGGGATCTCCTAAAAGCTAACTCATCAAGCCATTTCAAATGAGAGAAGTCAGCCCAAACCACACTGATAAAATCTATTACTTTTAGAGGACAGGAATCTCTCAGTCAGATCATGAAACTCTTTCTGTCCTTATTAGCATTCACTGCATAATTACTAAACTTCTGAGGGCTTACCATGTGCCAGCAACACTGCCAAGCAGTCTCTGTGGATTATTATCTCACGGGGCAAAGCCCTAGTCTGGTTCTACCACTCATAAGTCTACATCCCTGGGAAAGTTGCAATCACTGTTTCCCCTTCTCCCATGTCTTTATAATGCAGATAACAACTACCTGTCTACCTCAAAGAACTGAAAAAAGCACCAGAGGTAGCATTAGGAAAACAATAAAGGACTACACATATCTAGTCTGTTTTATTGAACAAAGGACTATTCACTGGTAAGACAATCATAATTCTCTCATAATTCATCTACCTGCTACAGTTGTATTTCCTTATTTGGAAAGGCTCCAATTTACAACTGCACTTGGATTTTTTTCAAAACAAATACAGGTGTAACATCTTGCCTTTTTCAGTTACATAGAAAAACTATATATGTGTACATGTTACATATGTGCATGAGCATTAATACATAATAGCATTTAAGGGGAAGACAGAAAGAAAAGAAAAAGTTTAAGTAAGAAAGTATCAATCATGAAACAAAATCACTCAAAGTATGATTCTCTTCTCTTACTACTCAAATTGCCTAATATGCCCCTGGCATTTTATGGCTAGTGTTAAGGCATGTTATTTTAAAACCAATTTCAGAAAACTTATAGATGAATATACAAGAAGTAAGAGATCAAAAAGAATGAATATGAATAAAATTTTCCTGAATATAAAATCACTAATAGCTTTATAGAGCAAATAGAAATTCCAAAATACCAAGTTAGGGATTCCCAACTGTCAGAGGGAGCTATGAAAATACTTATTATGTACCTCTAAATGTATTTGTGTTAGGTGCTATAGAAATCCTGTGGGGGGGGGGGGAGCTAAAACCCATGTAAGTCTTTGAAATGACCATAAACTAGAATACAGCAACGTAATGGACATTCTTAATTTATACGTTTATCATGTAAATCATAGTATCACTACAGATATTTGAGTCAGAAAATTATTTGTTACAGAGTGCTATCCTGCATATGGCAGACCATTTAGTAGCATCCCTGGCTACAAAGGCATCAAATTCTAAAAGCATGCACCCACCTACAGTGTGTGTGACAATGAAAAGTGTCTCCTGACATTAACAAGATATCCTCTGGGGTGAAAACAAATCTCCAGAAAGTAACCCACATGAGCATTATTTTCCCTTCCTTTCTGCTGTCTTATGTCTACAGAATCTTCTGGTCAGATCTTGAAATAAAGAAGAATCTGTTGTTGTTGACTACAACTTCACCTTAAATCAGTGTTTATTTCCTAGGAGATTCAATGGTTTAATCACATTACAAGATTATTTCCATATATCCTTATAACAAATTTTTATCTGTCATTAACAACTTATGCCAAAAGGCATAATTTTCACCATATTTTCAAATTTCATAGAATGAGACCAATATAAATGCATGCAACAAAAAAGCACACACAAGACATGACAGCCACATATAAAGCATCTCACTAAAAATATACTGACAGGTGTTAGTGTTAAATGCCAACTAAAAGGCAAGCTACAGGACTGGAGGTGTGGCTCAGTGACAAAGCGTTTATTTAACATGCACAAGGCCCTGGGTTCAATCCCCAGCAAAAACAAACAACCAAAAAAAAAAAAAAAAAGCAAGCCAGAATTGAATTGCCTAAGAACTCGAAATACATTGCCTACTTCTCTTTAAATAGGTCCTAACCAAATAGAAAAGAAAAGCATTTACATTATAGGCAATTAGTTTTCAATTACAGGATGTTGAATAATAATAATGCTTTTCTAGGTAAATACAACTGGTTTAACATTGTACATATGTTCAGAGAAAGATCATTGAGCATAAACATGAAACATGTTGTAGATTAAAAGCCTACATGTAATCTATTTGAATTTCCATTGTATTTTCATTGCAGAGAACAACTCAAGGAAAGCATTGCTGATAAAAAAAATAATAATAAAATAAAAAAAAATCCTATATGTCAGATTTTACTTCAACTGGTCTAAAACACCCTTGAGTTTTCTAAAGACACATTATTTCCCATTATTAGACAAGTCATGCACTATTCATCAGTCTCAATTTACAGATTATCTTGCTTTTTTATGTGTAGCCTTCTTGGCACTAAACTGCATACGGACCAGCCTTTAAAACAAACACTGTCCTAGCCAAACAATAATCTTGGAATTGTCTACAGGAAGCATTTGCTGCTGCTAGCTATAGTTCACAAAAATCCTATTTGTTGTTTATTTTTGGTGCTGGGGATCAAATCCAGGGCCATATCCATGCTAGGAATGCATTCTACCACTGAGTTCTACCCTCAGTCAAAGGTTTCCTTTTAGCCACATAACATTCCCTACACTAAGGAGGAACATGTAGTCAGTGAGGTAGTTAGGTATGTTTACTTGCCCACCAATTATTTGCATTCTGGGTATTTGTAACCCCTTCCAGAAAAATAACTCTTCCTGAGACTTCCTTATGTTATAATATCATATGTAATTTACAAATGAAAATTCTTTCTGAAAGTTATTGAAAATTCTTGAAGCTGCAAAGAGATTTTTAATCAAGTGAAAATAGCTTTCCCACGATGAACTGGGAAGAGCAGATGCTTAAGTGTCATGCTGAAGACTGTGGTTCACTCTCACAGATAAAAACGTTTTTGAGCACATAAGGATCTGGATAGGGGATAACCTGTTTTACATGGCACATGAAAACATACTGAGATCCTGATTTTTTAAATCAGTGGCTAAGAAGTACTTATAATAAGCTGAAGCTTAAAGAAATGGTAATCGTGGTAGCGTAACAAGATTTATGGACTATCAAAATTCTCAAAAGTAGCAATTCTTAGACATGAAATAAATCCTGGTAGGAGAAGACATTTTTCATATTAAACTATCTGACATCCTTAAATTTTATTCCTCTTGCTCCAAAACTAGTAACAATAAGTTACAGAAAGTTTGGTGGAAAATATAAGATATAACCATCTGGTGATTTTGTACTAAGAATGAAATGACTTACTTTTAAGTTTCAGTTATTTTAGAAATAGAAAAAAATCTGGAAAGTTAGTTTTATAATATGTTATCATGTCTACCAAATAAGTAGAATTAAACATCAGTGGACAAAAACCGAGAATTAGTTTTAAATACAGTCTTTGGAAAAATAATTGAAAACTATCAAAGTTTTAGTTTTTGCAATTTTGGAAGTCCAGTTTTACACTATACATAGCCATGTTATAACTCTCTACCCTGATCAGGAATCTTGAACATATTTCTATATACTCTAATGGATGATCAATGCCACTCAACTTCTCCACTAACAAAGCTTCCCGTGAGCTGAGTATATGAATTATGGCAACTGCAGGCATTCTAATCTTGAGTACATACTATATTTTTCCATCACAGACTTTCTAAAATGTAGTTGTTTGAGTTTCAACAACTAGAAATCAGAAACTTAGTTTATCTGGCAATCAAATACCAAAATGATCTTAGACAAATGTTCTTATTACTTTTGAGCAACTCACTAAATTTGAAAAACAGAAAAGAAGATGGAGCTAATTTTAAATTTTTCAATACAACAGATATTACACTGTTGAGTACAGCACTTCATGCAATAGGCGCTCAGACACAGAAATATTACCATTAGGTTGCAAAGTTAATTTTTAAAAACTTCCCATTTTAAAATCTCATGCACTGCATACAACACCCCCATTTAGTGACATGACAGGACAGAAATGCAATGGTAAATTACAAACAACAAGCAATATGCACAGATTTACTTTTAATGTGAACCACAAAACTTACCCATTCTCACCATAAATCTTTTGAAAGAGTCTAAGAAACCAGAAAACCAAAAATTAAAAAAAGAGTAACTTTTGCCAATTCTTGTTAGTTTCTAATTGTTTAACAACTTTAACAAGTCTAACTGAAGACGGGCAAATCTCAAAAGGCTGCTTCCTCAGCAATATTCTTGATCATGTACCAAGTTCTCATCAATCTCGTATCTCAAGAAGCTAAGATTAAGCAAAATAAAGGCTTAACTTACTAAGCAAACAAATCCATAGGAAAAGGCCTCCATTGCCAGGAGCTGACAAGTTAGATTTAGTCTACTAATTTAACTAAGCCTAATCAGATTTGTCCATCCCTAAATTCAACAAACAACAATTCAAAAAACAAACAAGTTGCCTAACACATAGATTATTACCAAAATGGCCACAACTGCATACATGTAAAATTCAGCAGACAGTAGATAACATTCATGCATTTTAACAAAGTTTGAACTGAAGTTTAAGTTATAAATAAAAATATCACAAACTGATAGTCCAAGAAACCTAGGTCAAAAGCAAAAGTCAAGTTAAATGAAATTTGCAATGCCATATTTTAAGGGAAATCTTTACTTCAAAAAGGCAGACATTCCAAAATATGAGAAACATATAGAACCAAATGACACTAGACTACTACAGAAATGCCTGGACATGGAAATAAAAGTCTGTAAATATAACTGGAAAACATTTTTAAGAAACTTCATATTGCAGAGTACCACAGACTTATAGCTGAAGGTAAGATGTATGTATACACCTTCTTAAATATGCCTAAGAGATGTGCAAATATGGAATTGCACTTTTTCTACAAAATGACAAGTTTCTTAGAGCAAAATATATATATATATTTTTTTTAACACAACGCTTCAAAATAGCACACATCATGCAAGGTTGAACAATCTGATGCTGTTTTGTACAAAAAAAGTTACACAAGACCAACCATTACAAGCCAAATCCTTGCAGAAACACACTCTGACCTCTCAACCATCAGTCGTTTCTTGTGCCTAAGTCGGCTAGCCTCCCGGATGGCCTCCCACTTCTGTAAGTCAGCCTCACTGCAGGGGCCAGGGGTAAAACTTATGGGAGGCACTGTAGTTCCCAGTTTCCAAGACTGGATCTTCCGAATCAACATGTCGTCTTTCTTCTGCCGATATGAAGGAACTAATATTCTACAGCTACTACTTTTTTCTTTTGATGGGCACGTCCTTTCAAGTACACAGAGAAATTTTGCTTGAATTTCTGGAGGCAGAGTCCAGGGTTCAGGAAAAGGGACTGGCTGGTATCTATCTGGGGCCCCAGACAGAGGCACTTCTTTCTTCTGTGCTGGAATTCGGCGAACAATCATGTCATCTTTTTCTAAATCTGGAAGTACAAGTTCACCTTCTCTACACTGCAAAATTATATCTCGCTCCACAGAATCATCTTGCTCAGAGAACCTTCCAAAGTCTTCAAAAGCTCGGAGAACATATGGATTCGCATGGAAAGCTCCAGTCTTTCTCACAAAGAAATCATCATTTTCTAAGTCGGGATCCAGAGTTGGCATCTCAAAGTCATCTCCCCTATAGCCTGGTGCATGAGAGAGATTCTTTCTGCGGGTTATGAGCCTTGGGCCAGAAGTGGGATCAATTCTGATATTTGTTTCAGAAGACAAGATGTCATCAGAGTATGTTTGGAGGGCCTGAAGTAATAAAAACTGACTGAAGCACAGAAAAGAAAAAGGAAGGGAGAAGCTTATTAAGTTTGAAGAGAAAAGGTAATTAGGTAGTAGAGAGTTTCCATGGGTGAATTATTTTAGGGACTGGGGAGGGACTCTTGCAAAGAAGACAGACTAGCATTTAATGCCATCACTCATGACATTCCTGGGTACCATTTAAAGAAACAAGAGCAGGGTATACTTCCCTGCTGGGCACTATCAAGGCCAGGTGATGGGCCTAGGCCTAAAACTCAGATTGGGTACACCTTACACACACACACACACACACACACACACACAACTCCTTTGTGTCCAATTCTTCATTCTATTAAAATGGCCTAATATTCTCACTAGAGAGAATAACTTTGGAAAGTTTCAAGAGTTGGTCACCATGTACTTTATGCAATAGATACAGGTAAGAATGAAAAGAAAAAATTAATTGCTCTTAAGTTTTATAAAAGAACATGATGAATTTTTTTTTCATTCTCCCATAAGACTTACCCTTCCCAGTCTCTAAAGTTATTTCCTTTCTCCACATCTCCATACACAGCACAACTGTAAAATTAGGTAATCTTTTGGAAAGCCTTTTTGGAATGGCTTTCCAAAAGAACTATGTCACATGTAAATAATATACTCTCTGAAACATTATTGTGCTAGTAAAGAACATTAAATCCTACAGATTTCCAAGCTTACATGCTCACACAGAAAGCAATATGTTATAGGTTATGCTTTTGTACTAAATATATTAAGTTTCCAAGATTGAGCATAGTCAGGTCCCAGGTTAATGTAGCAGAAGTAGGCAGCAGCAGGTATCTGATGCCAGATCCCCAAGCAGACTCAGGCAGACAGCTGCACCTGGGCTCCTCTGAGACTCCACTGCTTTTCCTCGCTGTGTGTGTGTCCCGTGATTTTATGGCCTGTTGAGTAGCTAGTTCCAGCAAGAGTGAAGATCTCTGGCAGTTGCCATCTAGCCTACACTGTTCTCTCTGTATTCTACTAAAAATGGTTGAACCCGAGTCCTCATCCTCAGAGTCTGAATTCCTTCTATTGTAAAGTGACATGGAGAAAAGAAGGAGGGAGAGAAGAAAAGAATTGACTACTGAAATTAATGTCAAGCTATGACTACATACAGGAAAGCTTTTTAAGATCCAGATTCTAAAGTTTAAATTTGAACACATGTTTTCAATTTTAGAAGTTCTACAGATGTTACAGGGAAAATTAGACTTTCTCCATCTCACACACAAAAAAAAATGCACAAAGAATGCACAGGTCAGGGTAAGGAATGAACACTGGAAGGACAGAAACACGCATAAAGACAAACCTGAATCCCTGAAATTCTTTATACCACGGTTTAGAGGTTTCCCTTTTTATTCTTTTCCAGTTCACATCTTCTGGAATCCAGCATTTGGGAAGAAACTGATCAAAAGAATTCCCTGGATTTGGCATGACTTGAGTTAGCTTTCGCACATACAGATCATCCTTGACAATGTTGGGTAACCTTGTTGGTTTTTCTTCTTCCTCTTCCAAGTAATGAGAGGAGTTTGAAGGTTCTCGGACTGTTGCCCAATTCTCTGCATTGGTGCTCCCAGTTCTCCTCTGGATACTGTTCAAAACATCCAACCAGGTTAAGATACTGCATGAGCAATCTGAACCAGAGCACATAAGGCACGCATTCCACCTCACAGTTTACAGCAGTGTGAAGAAAGCAAAGTAACTCCCACTGTTGTCACCACAGTTCCTAGAACAAAGTTAAGGTGCCATCTCATCCTAGTTAGAGAACAGCCAGATACACACGGCTAAGGACACTTAATTAGAAGCTGTGTTAAAAGAAAGACAAATTGCAGTTTGGAATGACTTTCTGAATTAAATCAATGGCATGACAGATATCCAGATCCAGGACAAATACATTTCTGACCTTGTCAGTGTGTGTAGCCCATAGGCTAATGTATCAGGAGAAAATATTTGCGGACCAGAGTGGAGAGAGGTGGTTTTCGAAATGAAACTCGGGGGCCTCTTTTTCACTTGGAATCTGTGGTTGGCTAAGTCATCCAAAATCACGTCAGGCAACCTTCATTCATCCTCAGTATCTGAACCACTTTCAGAACCACACGCCTCCTTACAGGAAGCTGGATATGAAAAATCACACTCTGCTCTGCTAATTTGATGGGGAAATAAAAGATTCTTTTCATGTCCACTAAGATCAACAAAAAAAATGGAAGAAAACACAGCAGCTCACAATGAACAATATTAGTCATCCAGTGCACTGAAAATACCAATAAACTAAAAGCACACACCTAAACAAGACCTAGCAGATCATATGCTGACACATGTTAACAGAACAAATATCTTCAAGATATAGATGACTAAAAACAGGTATAAAAAATTCTCATTAGTGAAATTCATTATCTCTGAAATACATTTTAAGAACCATTCTTAAATACCACTCAAATTCACAAAGCTTAAAGAACTCCACCATCACATCACATTCCAGTACCTTGAAAATGTCCCATCTGCCTCTGTGTAGACAGGGCTTGCCCAGCTTCTTCTGTTATCCTCATTTTTGTCTGGCTTTTTCTTCCTCAGCGGTGCTGGCACATAGGATGGCTGTCTACTTTTGTTGGGTAAAAAACGATTGAATGGTAAAGCAGATTTTGGTTCAATAGCTGAAATCCTTCGATAGGACATATCATCTTTGTTAAAATCCTGCATTTTGAATGTAAATTCCAAATCTGTGTCACTTTCGCAACCTATAAAACAAAGCACAAGAATTTGTTTTATTCTTTAGATTATTCACTTTATTAAAACCTCTCAGCCTGTCTGCTCTATCTTTCCCTTGGAAACCCAGTGCTGCTACTGCGAACTGTGGGGAATATTTTTAGAAATTGTCATGAAGTTGTGATAAGATCCATTAGGAGGAACTTGCTTTGCATACTGAAGGCACATGCAGTACACTCTTCTGCTGTCGCACATTCTAAGCAGAAAAAGTCCCTATTCACTGCTGAGCCCCTCCTTCCCAATCATCTTTGCCTCTAGGATCTTTCATCAAATTTGTCGAAGTAATACATGTGAATAAAACCTAGCAGGAAAGTTGCAGGTGCTTAAAATGAGATACAAAAGAAATTCTAGGGAAACTAATTTAAAATTAAAGCACGCATCTTTCCAATGTATGTGAGGAGAGAAAAGGGGAGCAGGAATAGAAGTAAAAATACACAAGATAGTGAAGGAGCATGACGAATCCCTATGAGACCCCTATGAATACAAGAGAGGATGGACTGGGTGACATGTCTAAAGTCCCCAAAGAATCTCAGGTCATATGCAAATGAGAGCACAGAACTTATGCTACTTCTTGTGACCATGAAAATTACAGTGGGAGTCTCCTATTTTCTTCAAAATTATTTAAAAAGAAACTTAGAAGGATACCCTTTAATACACCTCAAGTTCAGATAAATACAAATAGTAATATACCTTCTTTTAAAAAGAACATAAACCTGCTCTTTTAAAAGCACAGGAAAAAAAAAAGAGAGAGGATAGAACAGTACAGATTCAGAAGTCTCTTTCCTGCCTTCTTTTCATTCTGCCTGGAGAACATTTGTAAAGATGGTTTTCAAGTGTTGCTTCCCACCAGGGTCCCTCCCAAAACTGGCTAAGCACAGCACCCATATCTCCAGGCTCGGCCATGCACAGCAGCAGAGGTTAGCCAAAGCTAAAGGCAGTCTACTCTCCTCTCCCTGCCCAGCAGAAATCTACAGTGAATAACTCTGAGAATAGTCCACAGGAAATGGTTACAGCTGTGACAAAGTCACAGGGTAAGGGAAATGAAAAGGAAGAATGCAAGGCAGCTATGCCCAAGAGGGTCAGCCAATAATCTGATGCTTTTTTACTACTTCCTTTAAGAAAAAAAAAGACATTTCTCTCATTTTAAAAATGTGTGCCAATGAATCCTACTAAAATATACATGTGAAAATTTAAAATCACAGGCTATTCTACTTCTGAATTTTTTAAGTTAAAATCTTTTTTTAGCTCAGTTCAGTGTTCTGCAGAGTTTTCATTTGCCTAAATATCATCTTGATGTAAGTTTTCATACAAAACTAGGAAATTTTACTTTGCAATTCTTATCCTAAAAATATCCCAAATTTTGGTGACCATCAACTACAATCTGGTGGGTAGCAGAATTTTAATAAACCAATCTCAGAAATGGTTTCTTATCTTGGTACTCCCTCCAAGCTCTATAAGCAAGGTTTGTCTGCAACACATTTCAGCAATAGGGAAGGTGACTGCAGACCTCTGCTTTTGGTTACACACACCTGACTAAAGAAAAGGACCTAGATCCTACACTAGTGCCCACACCACACTATAAGGACTGAAGTCTGGATATGCCCACAAGCCCCTTTTATTCTTCACTGACCAGATGCAAATTTAAATACTGCGTTTTGCAGGTTTTTCAGTCATGACAAAGTAATCTAGTGGGTTGAAAATTTTAGCCTCAGCATTTATAATTTTAATCATTCAGATGCATTATAAACTTCAATTTATTTCCTTAAAGGTATTATAATCATCATCTGGGTTATAAAAAATGTCACACCTAGACAGCAAACGGCCAACAATGCACTAATAATTATAAATGTTAACTGCTTAAATAGCCACTCACATTTTTTAAATACTACTTACTACTACTACTATTACCATTACCACAACTCCTTTAAGTGCTAAAGAATTTAGTTTTGTTCCCATGCTTAATTTTTGAAAAACAAATTCATTTGATGTAGAGTTGGAAAGTTTTCATAATAAAATCTTAGAAAAAACATTTACAATATAAAATAATATTCATAACAAACAAGCAAAGTGAAATCCCTAACAACTGAGCATAAATTCCCAGACAGAATTCAACCCTTCATCATCATGATGGTGGAAGCACAAAAATATCTTAAAAGAAAAAAAAAAATGTTGGTGCAGTATTGGAGATTGAATCTAGAGCCTCAGCACTGAGATTCATTTTCCCAGCATTTCAAGAAATTTTACTTGTAGTTTCCAGTAGTCAATTCAGAGTAGCTAAGTATTTAGTCAGAAAATTGCTGACACTAACTAGTAGCCACAGGAATAAGACATGCATTTAAATAACTGATTTGACCATAAGCTTAGAATTTTGCAAGAAGGTCCCTCCCACAACAGAAAGACTGCATTACCACTGCTCCTTTTATGCCTTCTCTGTCCTGGGTTAGCTCTGACCCTGACATGACCAAGAGATAGATATTCTCTCCCACCACATTAGGTACTCTAAACAGGAGCCTAAAAATCTATCGAAATATAATTATTAAAATAGTTCTGTTTTTTCCTTGAGTTTTTAATCCTTTCTAGTAAAGTAAAAGAAAGAAAGAAAATTACTCAGCAATGAAACCAGACTTTTTTGCAGAATCTTATTTATATTCTTCTTTTATGTTTAACTATATTATATCAGCTGATAGGCCTCATATTATTAGGCCTGGAGCAAATTATTGCTTGACAAAACGAAATCACAGGAAGCTGTCTCCTCACAGTCCTGTCCAAAAACTGCAGAAAAAATTGGAAACTATTAACACTATGAGGAAAAGAAAAATTATGAAACCCCAAATATATTTAAGACTTTCTTAACATTTACTTCTGGTGAAATTTTTGCCTAGTTTTTATTCTGTTTTCCCATCCCTGTTCCAGTTTTTTAAGTAATAATTTGACAGCCAAAAACATATCTCACCTTCACGTCCTCCTCTCAATGTGATATCTGAGGAGCAGCTGGTCAATGATCTGGACCCCAAAGAGTCTAAGCTTTCAAAGGAATCTTCCCTCTTCTGGCTGCCTGGAGGAGCAGGAAATTCTCCTCGGTCAGAACACCAGATATCACCGTAGCCACTGTCCCGGCCACTTCTTTTCAGGCAGCTGGAGTCTTCAAGTGCCTAAAAAACATTTTATAAAAAATAGTAAGCTTGGGCTGGGGTTGTAGCTCAGTGGTAGAATGCTCAACTCACATGTGGAAGGCACTGGAGTCAATCCTCAGCATCACATAAAAATAAAATAAAGTTATTTAAAAAAAAAAATAGTAAGCTAGTATGAACTTCCAAAAACATAAATGTTTTGCTTCTTTGCTAGATAAGGCAATGTGATTTCCCTACTGAACATAAGAAAAGAGCTGATAAAAATCAGAATATACATCTGTAATTTTATGACCTCTGAAGTATTCCCAGGCCCTGTCTTAAACCTAAGAGTTGCCTTATTGGTGGGAACAGCTAGACATTCAGGATGTCTTTGTGATTCCTTTTTTAAACCGCCTTTTATGTATATGATAATGTAGAGCAGAGGCTAAAACACTGCTCTAATGCTTGAATGAGGAAAGAGAAAGAAGGACCCAACATTGGGGTCAGGGATTCTTTTCCGCTGTGTGGAAGGCCCTTATTGAAACATGGATCAATACTGTTACCAAAGTTTTGTCTTAGTTATTGCACCTGACTTTTGCCAAGTTGTGCCTTTTCTTCTGGAATTGTAAATAAACACAGTCATAGCACCTGTTTATACTGTGACACAGATATTGTTACAGTGAACATACCAGTGGCTCTCACTGCTGAGCTCACAGCCCCTAGTGAATGTGTGATGGATGGAGAAACCCCTGTACGACCTGCTGATGCTGTCTACCTCTTGGAAAATAAATTTTGAATCCCCCCCCCCCAAAAAAAAGAATAGACATCTGTAACATTTTCACCCACAACTAATATGATAAGGAAGTATGGGATGTTTAATGTGATGATTAGGAGGCATTATTTAATAAAGTAGTATGATCCATTTAAAAATAAGGAAGAGGGTATAGTTTAATGAACAAAAGTTCATTAAAACAACACTGAAACACTGAAGTCAATGATTATTTACAGTTCTGACAATAAACATGAAAGGAGTCAAAGAGAAAACCAATTCTAATTTAAAAATCCAAATGGAGATAAGTCAGTAAAATTATTCAGTCTATCTCCAGGAAATATTTTGAGTGATTATGGTAAACATAAAAGAATTCATAAAGTTCTTTAAGTGCATTCACCACCCTCAACCCAAAATAGCTAAAGGGGGGAAAAAACAAGAACTATGGCTCTACAGTATCACATGCACAAAAAGAGATTTAAAAAAGGAATCACAAGGCTGAATGTTTTCTCTGATAAGTGGATGCTAATCCATAATGGGATGAGTGGAGGAACTCTGGATGGGCCAAAGGGAAGGGAGGGGAGGGGAAAATGGGATAGGAAAGATGATAGAATGAGACTGATATCATTACCCTAGGTACATGTATGATTGCACGAATGATGTGACCCTATTTTGTGTACAACCAGAGAAGTGAAAAATTGTGCTCCATTTGTGTACAATGAGCATTCTGATGTTATATATTAACTGATTTAAATAAATAAATAAATGGTTTAGAACAAATAAATAAATAGGAATCACAAAGACATTGTTAATGTCTAGATGTGCCCACATCAGAGAATTCATTTATTTTCACCAATAATAAAACCTAGATTTGAGGTACTGGCAGCTAGGTTGTCTCGCTTGCTGAGTCAAGGGAAGCATACTTATTCACAAACATGTAAGACTTATCTCCCAGTCAGGTGTGGTGGTACATGCCATCCCAGAAGCTCAGGAGGCTGAGACAGGAGGACCACAAGTTCAAAGCCTGCCTCAGCAACAGTGAGGTGCTAAGCATCTTAGACCCTGTCTCTAAATACAATACAAAAAAAGGGCTGGGATGTGGCTCCATGTTCGAGTGCCCCTGAGTTCAATCCCTGGTACGCAACCTTCCCCACAATCCCCAAAAGATTTATCTTCCTTGGAACTAAATTAAACATTGGTTTGGCTCATCTAAGAGATAGAAATATGACAATTATTGTAACCTATAGGTTTGTAAATTATACAGAACCTAATCAAAATAACCATTTTTAATTAACACTTATAAAATTTAATGGTAAAATACAACTGGGTATTTTAAATATGAATTTAACTTAAGTAAAATTTTATAAAGTTCTTAGCATAGTCCTGACACTGCAATCAATGAATACCTAGTAATTACAATTTTTAACTATGGTAAAGGTAATTTTGTCATTATAGTAAAAAAAAAATCAGTGATATTACTTACAGATATTACTTACTAATAGTTTAAAGAACCTAGGAATAACTAACAACCAAATGTAACATATGAATCTTGATTAAATCACAATTCAGATTAAAGAAAAGAGACGATGAAAAACAGGAGACAATTGGGAAATTTAATATGTCCTTAATAATAAATAATGGGGAATATTTATGAGATTCCTTAAATATATACATTGTGGCTATACAGAAAAATATTCTTAGGAGATGCATACTGAATATTTTGGGATGAGATATTTCCGAAATTAAGATGGTTACTTTAAAAACATAGATGGGTGGGTAGATAAGCCAATATAAAAATCTTTAATAATTGAGTCAGATGATGATTACCTGGGCATTTGTCGTATTATTTTTTCAACATAAAAAAGGTGAAAATGTATAAAAGAATAATTAGCAGGTGGCTCAGGCATGTTTTTGACTAATAATAGAACGATGAATTTCTGGGTCAAATGTTTGACAAGTGTTTAAAACGCCAATAAGGGTCTAGTCGATTTAAGAGAGATTTCATAAGCTTTAGATATCAGGCATCCTGGCATGAGTTCCCATCCTGTCATGAAAACGCCAGCACCTACCTTATACCCTGTCCCCAAGAAGATGGGGAAATGAGGCCTAGTGCCGGTACCAGAATGTTTCACAAAATATGAGAGTAACCACTGTAAAATAAATCTTCAGATCCATCAAGGTCTTTGTTTGGCTGTACTGAGCATTCTACCCACTGAGTTCTACCCCCAGCGTTTTTTTTTTTTTTTTTCCCCTTGAGATAAGGTCTCATTAAGTTGCCCAGGCTGGCTCTGAACTTGCAATCCTTCTGCTTCAGCCTCCTGAGTAACTGGGATTACAGGCACACACCAGCAAGCATGGCTTCATCAGTTTTTTTTTTTTTAAAACACATATACTTTGAAACCTAAGAGCTAACATATGGCAAGATGAAATTTAACATCATAAAGTTAAAGCTATTGATGATGGGCTACCACAGTTATAAGACAACCTGAGTATGACCCTGGAGTTTGGTTGTTGTTTTTTTTAAACCATTTTGTTTGTTTCTTTGTTTTTGTGGTACTGGCGATTGAACTCATGGCTTGGTTCTAAGCAGGCAATATGTCATTGAGCTACATTCCCAGCCCTTGAAGCTTGGTTTTTGAGGATTTCACCCTGACAAGTCCCCAAAATGAGTCACCTTCAGTTATGACACTAGCACAAATTACACCAACTATTTTTTTAATTGATACAATGGACTGGCCTTAAGCACTATCTAGATGGAATAGAATGAATGTAAAACAGGTGACATGTTCACATGCCTCTCATGCCTATTCCCACTTAGTAAGAGTGGAATAAGAGAACCACAGCTATCTACCAAAACTTTTTTGCCCACTCTGACAGACACTGGTAACAGGAAACAGCATTTAATGAAGCATTCCTAGCATAAACACTATATTAATATTATTCAACCTGAGTCAGATTGTCATAAAAAGTTAAAGAGCATTACTTCATGGGCCGAAGTTCCATGTCACTTTTAATTGAAAGTTTCCTTAGCTGAAATAATTATAAAGCAAGGCTCTCCCTGTGCCCAAAGCCCCTTACAATTTCTCCACTATCCCAGACAGCTGGATTATTTGCTATGGGAGTATTCGCAACCCTCTTACAACAGGTATACATGATAATATCTCACCCTGATTTAACTGATACAAGGAATTTGAATGAAGTGCTATCAACTCTTTATAATAAGAAGAAAAAACATAAAACCCCCAAATTTTTGACTCTGTAAATTCCATTTCTCTCTAATATATGTGGCTGAACTCAGGCAAAATCATTTTTTAAAGATAAGGAGAAATGTAGAGAAAGGTGAGTATTTTTATCCTGACCCAAAATTTCTATCTTCCAATCATAACTAATATTTATTATGTTTTTTTTACAAAGTGTCAGAGACTAATTTTAAAAATGCCTTACTAACAGAGCATCATTTAATCATCAGAAAAACCCCTAAAGCATCTACTCTTAATGTTTTATTTATTTTGACTACATATTTTCTTCTGACCCCTGTCAGTTCCCCTAAATAAATATCCCACAAAGAAATTAGTTTTCCACTTGGACCTTTTATAAATGAAGACTTGGCAGAACAACTGTCAGTCTTGGCACTTGATTCTTCTCAAACAAACCTTAAACATTCAAAAGGCTGTCACACAGGTTCCCGGATATGAAGGAATAGAAATGTGTGTAAAACCAAGGATTCTAACGTTAAAACCTTATCAAGTTTCACTTAGCATTCACTACTGTTTTGGAAATAAAGGCAGTATGGTGATACTGGAATACGGACATTAACGATAATTAATTGCCCAAGAATACATTAATATAAAGAAATTTACTTCCGTTAATTTTAATAGTCCTGGGAATGCCTTTCTGCTGCAGACTGAATTCATAATGAGCATAGAAATAAGTCATACAATATGTAAGAAAGAAAGCAAATGTGCATGTCATCAAACTACCTAAAATTAAGAGAGAAATTTATGCCTCAAAAAGTGCTCTGGAATAGACTCACTGACTCTTGGTGGTAGTACATAAAGCCAGCAAAGTCTAACAATCCTTTCTACTCAGCCCAGTCTAGAGCAAACACATCCCACCATTATTTGTCAGAGGGGAGGAAGAGAAGCAAAAGAAAGGAGGAGGAGGAGAAAGTGATAGTGTTAGCTGTAGCAGTCATTTTATACAGATGTAGTTTCCTTACCTTAGTCAGAGCTTGTCCTAAAAGCTTCTCGAATGCTTTCAAATTAAGATAGGGACCACTGTAGTAGGGGTTATTTTGTGTTTTTCTTCCCAGCCAGTACAATGTTATCAAAACCTTTGAAAAAAAATTTCATGAACAAATCAGTCTATTTAGTAAGCTCAATTCAGGTGAATACTCAAGATAAAGGATAGCTCATATTACTCTATGGTTGAAAGTCCAACTCCCTTAAATTTATGGGAAGGGAAAGGTTCATTGAAAATCTTAATTATAGTGTGGCACAGTGATGCATGCCTGTAATACCGGTGGCTCAGAAGGCTGAGGCAGGAGGATCATGATTTCAAAGCCAGCCTTAGCAAACACTGAGGTGCTAAACAACTCAGTGAGACCCTGGCTCTAAATAAAATATAAAATAGAGCTGGGGATGTGGCTCCATGGTCAAGTGCCCAAGAGTTCAATCCCCATAACAAAAAACAAAAAAAAAATCTTAATTATTATTGCTAGATTATAAAAGGAAACCATAAGAAACTTTTAAATCCATCAATATTTTTTTCAGCAGCTACAGAATGAACACCTAAAATCAATAATTTTCAGCTTCCGTGATGAGACTATGAAGCTTTTTAAAAACAAAGCTGCCACTTTAGACATTCTTCTATGCAGAATATTAAGGACATTATAAGTCTACACTGAACACAGCATCCTTAAACATTATGTATTCCCCTAAAGTCTGTTATGACGGTTTCCTACTTGCTCCCCTAAAAAAATTATAAAAGGGGTCTGCCGTTACCACATTAGTAACTTTTAATAACTAGCTTCCAAAATCTAGCCTACTCTCTTATACTATGAAGTCAGAGAATATAAGTTCTAACCATGTACTGCAATACATATATTTAGTTATATTTACAGTTTATGACTGGTGGTTTCCATGTAAAATTTAATTGGAAAAAGGATGCAGAGTATTTTTTAGTTCTATTACTTCCCTAAGGATGATCAAAGTAAAAACTATAATGCTTCATTAAATATATCTTACATTTTTCAATCTTCTATCAGTCTCTTCTTGTCTGTAAAGAAAAATAGAGTATCTATTAAGTAATATCCATGAACCTTAAATTAATTATAACTAGAAATTCATTTTTATTCTTAAGTTCTATGAATATTAATATCACCTGGTAATTCAGAAATCTTAACAGCACATATTACACATGAGAAAATTTTTCCATGTTTATTGATTTTACTAAATATAACAGTTTTCTATAGAAAGTAATTTTTCTTCATTTTACCCAGTATGGTCTTATTTTTAAAATGTTATTTAGATTTTTGCATTCTAATTTTAAACAATATTTAAGTCCAATGGCGGGGGGATCGATGTGTGCTTAGGACAGGAAAATTGGGAAATAAAGAAAAAAAAAATCTTAGGAAGATGGAGCGAGGGGAAAAAGCAGGCACATGCTGACATTTCTCCTTCACTGTCCACAAGGTTTTGCACTCAAGTTCCCCAGAGTAAATGGCTCAGAGACCATGACCCTAAACATGCTGAAAGTCCAGTTTAGAAAACGGCTATGAACCTCCTCCTGAAAAAAGTCACTAAGAATCATGGGAGTTTGGCTCACCTGTAGGACATGATATTTAAGGGAGAAGTTAAAAGGAAGTAGAATATCACCTCAATGTGGAAGCAGCAGCGATAAACTATGAACAAAGAGTAGGGTCACCCTAAAAGAATGGGCTTTGTGTCAGACACACACAGGATCAATGTGAATTCAGAGACCACAGAAGCCTGAACTAGACAGGCCTCTAAAATGGCTTTTCAGCCAAACTACAAGTGATACAATTATAAAATAAAAATACAATTATAAAATAAAATACATTGATAATTGTATACAATTATCAATATGTTTGTAGAAGACATATAACGTGCATTCACAAATATATACACAGAGGGGAAAAAAAAGGTAAGTTTGGAGTGCACAGAGACAATTATTTAACTTTATCTTTGAAAGAATAAGTGAGGCAACTGTGATTATTTCCTTTCACAGAACAATCATATCTTAAGAATAATATACATCTCCCACCCAAGCCCAAAAAGCATCTCAACAAAAAATTAATGTTCTCATATAAATACAAACTGGTACAACTATTCACACTCTTAACCCGCTTGGTGATATCTATTTCAGCTAAACACACTGACATTTCACAACCTCGTAATTCCATTTCTAGGTAATTCCATTTCTACAACAAATCCTCTACTAATTTATCAAAAGTCATATACAAGAATGTTTAGAGCAGCATTATATTCAACAGCAAAAACTGGAGAATTCGCTAAGAGAGCAAGGATTAAGGAATACCCACACAATGAGAACAAACAATCTCCAAACTATTTTCAAGCAATTGGTACAAGCTCACAAACAACAGGAAGTTAAAAAAAAAAAAAGTCAAGCACAAAAACCATACAGATTATATGAATGAAACAATATAAAATAAAAACCAGGCAAAACAAAGATATGCTATTAGAAGACCAGATAGTGATTATCCTTGTGGGAGAGAGTGGCAGAAGTCATTGGCAGAGTGTGGGGCTATCAGAATGCTAAAAATTTGTAGTTTGCTCTAAAAGCTGGCTACCTATGTGTGTTCAGTTTCTAAATAAACATGTGAATTGTACATTTCCATATGTATACTTTTCTGTATATATATCTACTTCAAAAAAAGTAAATAAATAGAACAAATTTCTTGGCTTGAATGCTCACACTGTCTCTTGAGTAAAATGAAAATCATCTTGTAAAAATTAATAGCAGTTCATTTTGGAAGTAGTTAGTGGAGAAAGTCACAAGAAACTGACAATAAAATAACAGTTATAAACTCATACCCCTTACTAGATTAATGACTAACACACCCAACTCAAATATTAAATTATCCAAAACATGAAAGAACCATCAAAACACAGTACAAAGATGTACTAATCCAAAAGTTGCCCCACTTTTATCATAAGTATATCAGAGTAAAAGGAGCAAAAAGCCCTCTTAAACCCCTGACCTCCTTTGCACAGCCCTCAATAAAAGTTTCCAATCCAACAATCTCATCTGCTTAGAGCTATTGGTCATGACACAGCAAGCACTGCAAGTACAGGGTACTGCTTATTGTGTTGTAGACACTCACTATAGCAGTGACTTTGGCATTATTGCCCTCATTCACTTTACCTTCCTTCTAAATACAGGAATTTACAACATACTCTTGAACACAGTGATACACAGGCCAACCAAATTAGTGCCCTATCACTGAAATGTAATGCCAGGAATTCAAGTAGTCAATGATTTGCTGGAATAAAGAGAGTTCACACTGACACACAACAAATACCCCACTGCATGATATCAGGAATCAGGAGACTCCTTTGCCTGGGATAACCCCGAGGCACAGCCCCAAGGCCTTTTAAATAGAACAAGTGTAAGGGTGGAGAAGCTTAGGGTTAACAAGACAATGTGAGTCAGTCATATTTACTGCACAACCAATCCATCAGAACCAAAAATGAGGTAGTCCTATCATCAGAGTAATTCTCCCATAGCAAATGCATCCATAGTTTACACTGATTAGTACTAGGTTTAAAGAGCAAGGGGTTTAGAGTCAGATCTGGGTCTCTCTGGCTATACCTGAGTTATTTACTTGACTCTCAAAGACTAAGTTTCCTTCTGGATAAACTGGGGCTAATGCCCCCTATTTCAATAGCTAAGGAGTACTTAGTAGAATCCCTAGCCTCCCAAGGAAGAGTTCATCAAGAAACAGTTCTCAGAATTGACAGTCAAGGCTCTCTTATTCCCACTCTGCATATAGAGCCTCCTAGTGAAGTCAAGTAGGACCCTGGTATTTAAATTCCAACTTGCCTGCCCTATTCCCATTTTCACCCTGACTTTCCCTGCCCCAACCTTGGTATTTACAACCATCTACTATTCGTATTTATTTTTTATCTTTCTCTCTTCCAAACAGAATCCAAAAAGTTTGTGTGGTTTTGTTCACAGCTATCTCCCATGTACCTTAAAACAAGGTATGCCCACTTGAGAAGGAATAAAAATATTTGTTTAAAAGTGCCTAGCACAGTTCATGGCACAAAAGTTCAGGTTAAAAGTGATAGAATAGTTGAGTAATATTTAAAATAATATTCAAAAATGACTACCTTGAATATATTGAAAGCCTTTAGTCTATGCTTGCATCATACATTAACTTTTTTTTTTTTAGATTTTTTATTATGTTTTTTTAGTTGTAGTTGGACACAATATATCAAACCCAGGGCCTTACAACCCCAGCCCAACTTTTTAATACTATACTTAATATTTACAAAATAGCAAATATAGTGTGTATATATATATAATATATATATTATATTATATATATATATATAATATATATATATATTCTGTTAATGGAATAGTTCTGGCAATCCTTTTGCTATCTGACAAAGGTCCAGAAGACATGTCTATCACAGACCTCTGACCTTTGTGCTCATCAATTTAACCAGCTGCCACGTATCCTAACAGCTAATTGGTAAACTTAAGATCACGAAACTCTGGGTGGAATCCTCCTTCTTAACTCTAAGATTTTTAAATCAATCAACAAAGGACTAAGGAAATAGTCTGAGTAGATGCTCTGACTCTCCCCAGAGATGCTATGCTGGGTCCTGCCATCAGGAGGCAGCTCAGCTAAGAGGGCTCTGAGTTCAGCTCTCCTGCAGGTGAAATCTAGATCCAGTCTTGCTAGCTTAGTTTTCCAAAAGCTCAACATCCAAGAACCTGGTCACATCACTTAACTCTGTCCTCAAAGCCACACCTGTAAAACAGGAGCAGTGCTGGCCTCATTGAGTTTCAACAAAAGATTTTAAAAGTATTTGACCTAGACAGAAAAAATAAATAATTCATTTCACAACTACCCGCTAATTATACATTTAAGTCAAACCACTGGGGGGAAAGGGCAGTGTCAGGAGGTCAATTTCTCCCCTACATGTGATATTTTTCCCTTAGAAGAGACATTTCTGAGGAACAATTTGTGACACTCTTCCATGTTATATTTTCCTTGTTCTCTTGCCATGGAAGGCTTTAATCAAGAATAAGAAAATATTTCTAGAATAAGGTCAAGCAAAGGGCAAAGCAAACTGACATGGTATGGCTATCATTTTCTCAACATTGATGTTAGCACCAAACCAGCCTCCCCACCCATCCTTGGTCTACAGTCTGACTTGACCAAGGACCCTTTAAGTTTTCCAAAAGCCCAACATCTGAGGAAAAAATATATGTATCTGCACATCCAAAAAGCTATCCCTCATATCTAACAGCACAGTTTGAGAACAAAGTGTTAATAGGTAAGATTAACATTTACCAGTATGTGCCAGCCAGCTGTGTTCTAAGGTTGCACTAAAAATATTTCCAAAAATCTTCAAAGAGCTAACTCTGGACCCACACTCATGCCACTGCCACAGCCTTTCCAGCAGTTTCCTTGGGGGCTGTAGAGACACATGGCTCTTTTCTCAGAGCCAATCACGGCCTGGGAAAGGCCAAGCATTTAAGTGTTCATATATGTTACTTCAAGCCACTCACAGCCAACCTAGCACATCAAGAGCCAGAAGTGACAGGAAAAATGTTTCTCCAAAAAGAGTAAAGCTTCAGAGGATCTGACATGAAATCCCAGTCTCTGTTTCTCTCCCGTGTCTCAGTATGTCTTTTCCATGGTAGTACCACCTTTGTCATTTGCAACATTGAAAGACCAATCTTCCCAGGCTCTGCCACAATATCACAAATCCCTAGGAGTTCAATTCCCCATGCTCTAAAATCATCTTTTCTCCCCATATTCCAACCCCTTCACTGTGCAAGCCAAATTGATCAAGATCAAATATAGTAAATAAGCCAACCCCCCCCCCAAAAAAAAAGGCCAAATGTTCTCTCTGATATGTGGATGCTGAAACAATAAGGGGAAGGGAGAATAGAAGTTCATTGGATTAGACAAAGGAGAATGAAAGGAAAGGACAGGGGATTGGAATAGGAAAGACAGTAGAAGGAACTGGACATAACTTTCCTATGTTCATATA